TCAAACAGATTCAGTAACATCTGACCCAGCAGAGACCTCCTCAACACCTGAGCAAACCAATCCCACAGACACAGTAACATCAGATTCTGGCCAGACAACCATGTCATCTGACCTTACAGGTTCTACAGATACATTTACATCTGAGCCTGCTGGAACCACCTTGGAATCGGAATCAGCTGTTACAACTGATTCAATAACACCTGAGACTGTAGGAGACAACATTCAGCACAAGAGCAAACAAGTCCCACTGACACAGTCACTTCTGAGCCTGTTGGTACCACTTTGGTATCTGATCAAACCAGTCAAACAGATTCAGTAACATCTGACCCAGCAGAGACCTCCTCAACACCTGAGCAAACCAATCCCACTGACACAGTAACATCAGATTCTGGCCAGACAACCATGTCATCTGACCTTACAGGTTCTACAGATACATTTACATCTGAGCCTGCTGGAACCACCTTGGAATCGGAATCAGCTGTTACAACTGATTCAATAACACCTGAGACTGCAGAGACAACTTCAGCACAAGAGCAAACAAGTCCCACTGACACAGTCACTTCTGAGCCTGTTGGTACCACTTTGGTATCTGATCAAACCAGTCAAACAGATTCAGTAACATCTGACCCAGCAGAGACCTCCTCAACACCTGAGCAAACTAATCCCACTGACACAGTAACCTCAGATTCTGGCCAGACAACCACGTCACTTGACCTCACAGGATCTACAGACACAGTTACCTCTGAGCCTGCTGGAACCACCTTGGAATCGGAATCAGCTGTTACAACTGATTCAATAACACCTGAGACGGAAGGGACAACATCAGCACTAGAGCAAACAAGTCCCACTGACACAGTCACTTCTGAGCCTGTTGGTACCACTTTGGTATCTGATCAAACCAGTCAAACAGATTCAGTAACATCTGACCCAGCAGAGACCTCCTCAACACCTGAGCAAACCAATCCCACAGACACAGTAACCTCAGATTCTGGCCAGACAACCATGTCATCTGACCTTACAGGTTCTACAGATACATTTACATCTGAGCCTGCTGGAACCACCTTGGAATCGGAATCAGCTGTTACAACTGATTCAATAACACCTGAGACTGCAGAGACAACTTCAGCACAAGAGCAAACAAGTCCCACTGACACAGTCACTTCTGAGCCTGTTGGTACCACTTTGGTATCTGATCAAACCAGTCAAACAGATTCAGTAACATCTGACCAAGCAGAGACCTCCTCAACACCTGAGCAAACCAATCCCACTGACACAGTAACATCAGATTCTGGCCAGACCACCATGTCATCTGACCTTACAGGTTCTACAGATACATTTACATCTGAACCTGCTGGAACCACCTTGGAATCGGAATCAGCTGTTACAACTGATTCAATAACACCTGAGACTGCAGAGACAACTTCAGCACAAGAGCAAACAAGTCCCACTGACACAGTCACTTCTGAGCCTGTTGGTACCACTTTGGTATCTGATCAAACCAGTCAAACAGATTCAGTAACATCTGACCCAGCAGAGACCTCCTCAACACCTGAGCAAACCAATCCCACTGACACAGTAACATCAGATTCTGGCCAGACAACCATGTCATCTGACCTTACAGGTTCTACAGATACATTTACATCTGAGCCTGCTGGAACCACCTTGGAATCGGAATCAGCTGTTACAACTGATTCAATAACACCTGAGACTGGGGAAACCACATCAGCACAAGAGCAAACAAGTCCCACTGACACAGTCACTTCTGAGCCTGTTGGTACCACTTTGGTATCTGATCAAACCAGTCAAACAGATTCAGTAACATCTGACCCAGCAGAGACCTCCTCAACACCTGAGCAAACCAATCCCACTGACACAGTAACATCAGATTCTGGCCAGACAACCATGTCATCTGACCTTACAGGTTCTACAGATACATTTACATCTGAGCCTGCTGGAACCACCTTGGAATCGGAATCAGCTGTTACAACTGATTCAATAACACCTGAGACTGCAGAGACAACTTCAGCACAAGAGCAAACAAGTCCCACTGACACAGTCACTTCTGAGCCTGTTGGTACCACTTTGGTATCTGATCAAACCAGTCAAACAGATTCAGTAACATCTGACCCAGCAGAGACCTCCTCAACACCTGAGCAAACCAATCCCACTGACACAGTAACCTCAGATTCTGGCCAGACAACCACGTCACTTGACCTCACAGGATCTACAGACACAGTTACCTCTGAGCCTGCTGGTACCACCTTGGCATCAGAATCAACTGATCCAACTGATTCAATAACACCTGAGACGGAAGGGACAACATCAGCACTAGAGCAAACAAGTCCCACTGACACAGTCACTTCTGAGCCTTTTGGTACCACTTTGGTATCTGATCAAACCAGTCAAACAGATTCAGTAACATCTGACCCAGCAGAGACCTCCTCAACACCTGAGCAAACGAATCCCACAGACAGAGTAACCTCAGATTCTGGCCAGACAACCATGTCATCTGACCTTACAGGTTCTACAGATACATTTACATCTGAACCTGCTGGAACCACCTTGGAATCGGAATCAGCTGTTACAACTGATTCAATAACACCTGAGACTGCAGAGACAACTTCAGCACAAGAGCAAACAAGTCCCACTGACACAGTCACTTCTGAGCCTGTTGGTACCACTTTGGTATCTGATCAAACCAGTCAAACAGATTCAGTAACATCTGACCCAGCAGAGACCTCCTCAACACCTGAGCAAACCAATCCCACTGACACAGTAACCATCAGATTCTGGCCAGACAACCATGTCATCTGACCTTACAGGTTCTACAGATACATTTACATCTGAGCCTGCTGGAACCACCTTGGAATCGGAATCAGCTGTTACAACTGATTCAATAACACCTGAGACTGAAGGGACAACATCAGCACTAGAGCAAACAAGTCCCACTGACACAGTAACTTCTGAGCCTGTTGGTACCACTTTGGTATCTGATCAAACCAGTCAAACAGATTCAGTAACATCTGACCCAGCAGAGACCTCCTCAACACCTGAGCAAACGAATCCCACTGACACAGTAACCTCAGATTCTGGCCAGACAACCATGTCATCTGACCTTACAGGTTCTACAGATACATTTACATCTGAGCCTGCTGGAACCACCTTGGAATCGGAATCAGCTGTTACAACTGATTCAATAACACCTGAGACTGCAGAGACAACTTCAGCACAAGAGCAAACAAGTCCCACTGACACAGTCACTTCTGAGCCTGTTGGTACCACTTTGGTATCTGATCAAACCAGTCAAACAGATTCAGTAACATCTGACCAAGCAGAGACCTCCTCAACACCTGAGCAAACCAATCCCACTGACACAGTAACATCAGATTCTGGCCAGACCACCATGTCATCTGACCTTACAGGTTCTACAGATACATTTACATCTGAACCTGCTGGAACCACCTTGGAATCGGAATCAGCTGTTACAACTGATTCAATAACACCTGAGACTGCAGAGACAACTTCAGCACAAGAGCAAACAAGTCCCACTGACACAGTCACTTCTGAGCCTGTTGGTACCACTTTGGTATCTGATCAAACCAGTCAAACAGATTCAGTAACATCTGACCAAGCAGAGACCTCCTCAACACCTGAGCAAACCAATCCCACTGACACAGTAACATCAGATTCTGGCCAGACAACCATGTCATCTGACCTTACAGGTTCTACAGATACATTTACATCTGAGCCTGCTGGAACCACCTTGGAATCGGAATCAGCTGTTACAACTGATTCAATAACACCTGAGACTGAAGGGACAACATTCAGCACAAGAGCAAACAAGTCCCACTGACACAGTCACTTCTGAGCCTGTTGGTACCACTTTGGTATCTGATCAAACCAGTCAAACAGATTCAGTAACATCTGACCCAGCAGAGACCTCCTCAACACCTGAGCAAACCAATCCCACTGACACAGTAACATCAGATTCTGGCCAGACAACCATGTCATCTGACCTTACAGGTTCTACAGATACATTTACATCTGAGCCTGCTGGAACCACCTTGGAATCGGAATCAGCTGTTACAACTGATTCAATAACACCTGAGACTGAAGGGACAACATCAGCACTAGAGCAAACAAGTCCCACTGACACAGTCACTTCTGAGCCTGTTGGTACCACTTTGGTATCTGATCAAACCAGTCAAACAGATTCAGTAACATCTGACCAAGCAGAGACCTCCTCAACACCTGAGCAAACCAATCCCACTGACACAGTAACATCAGATTCTGGCCAGACAACCATGTCATCTGACCTTACAGGTTCTACAGATACATTTACATCTGAGCCTGCTGGAACCACCTTGGAATCGGAATCAGCTATTACAACTGATTCAATAACACCTGAGACTGCAGAGACAACTTCAGCACAAGAGCAAACAAGTCCCACTGACACAGTCACTTCTGAGCCTGTTGGTACCACTTTGGTATCTGATCAAACCAGTCAAACAGATTCAGTAACATCTGACCCAGCAGAGACCTCCTCAACACCTGAGCAAACCAATCCCACTGACACAGTAACCACAGATTCTGGCCAGACAACCACGTCACTTGACCTCACAGGATCTACAGACACAGTTACCTCTGAGCCTGCTGGTACCACCTTGGCATCAGAATCAACTGATCCAACTGATTCAATAACACCTGAGACGGAAGGGACAACATCAGCACTAGAGCAAACAAGTCCCACTGACACAGTAACTTCTGAGCCTTTTGGTACCACTTTGGTATCTGATCAAACCAGTCAAACAGATTCAGTAACATCTGACCCAGCAGAGACCTCCTCAACACCTGAGCAAACCAATCCCACTGACACAGTAACATCAGATTCTGGCCAGACAACCATGTCATCTGACCTTACAGGTTCTACAGATACATTTACATCTGAACCTGCTGGAACCACCTTGGAATCGGAATCAGCTGTTACAACTGATTCAATAACACCTGAGACTGCAGAGACAACTTCAGCACAAGAGCAAACAAGTCCCACTGACACAGTCACTTCTGAGCCTGTTGGTACCACTTTGGTATCTGATCAAACCAGTCAAACAGATTCAGTAACATCTGACCCAGCAGAGACCTCCTCAACACCTGAGCAAACCAATCCCACTGACACAGTAACATCAGATTCTGGCCAGACAACCATGTCATCTGACCTTACAGGTTCTACAGATACATTTACATCTGAGCCTGCTGGAACCACCTTGGAATCGGAATCAGCTATTACAACTGATTCAATAACACCTGAGACTGGAGAGACAACATCAGCACAAGAGCAAACAAGTCCCACTGACACAGTCACTTCTGAGCCTGTTGGTACCACTTTGGTATCTGATCAAACCAGTCAAACAGATTCCGTAACATCTGACCCAGCAGAGACCTCCTCAACACCTGAGCAAACCAATCCCACTGACACAGTAACCACAGATTCTGGCCAGACAACCACGTCACTTGACCTCACAGGATCTACAGACACAGTTACCTCTGAGCCTGCTGGTACCACCTTGGCATCAGAATCAACTGATCCAACTGATTCAATAACACCTGAGACGGAAGGTACAACATCAGCACTAGAGCAAACAAGTCCCACTGACACAGTAACTTCTGAGCCTTTTGGTACCACTTTGGTATCTGATCAAACCAGTCAAACAGATTCAGTAACATCTGACCAAGCAGAGACCTCCTCAACACCTGAGCAAACCAATCCCACTGACACAGTAACATCAGATTCTGGCCAGACCACCATGTCATCTGACCTTACAGGTTCTACAGATACATTTACATCTGAGCCTGCTGGAACCACCTTGGAATCGGAATCAGCTGTTACAACTGATTCAATAACACCTGAGACTGCAGAGACAACTTCAGCACAAGAGCAAACAAGTCCCACTGACACAGTCACTTCTGAGCCTGTTGGTACCACTTTGGTATCTGATCAAACCAGTCAAACAGATTCAGTAACATCTGACCCAGCAGAGACCTCCTCAACACCTGAGCAAACCAATCCCACTGACACAGTAACATCAGATTCTGGCCAGACCACCATGTCATCTGACCTTACAGGTTCTACAGATACATTTACATCTGAACCTGCTGGAACCACCTTGGAATCGGAATCAGCTATTACAACTGATTCAATAACACCTGAGACTGCAGAGACAACTTCAGCACAAGAGCAAACAAGTCCCACTGACACAGTCACTTCTGAGCCTGTTGGTACCACTTTGGTATCTGATCAAACCAGTCAAACAGATTCAGTAACATCTGACCCAGCAGAGACCTCCTCAACACCTGAGCAAACCAATCCCACTGACACAGTAACATCAGATTCTGGCCAGACCACCATGTCATCTGACCTTACAGGTTCTACAGATACATTTACATCTGAACCTGCTGGAACCACCTTGGAATCGGAATCAGCTGTTACAACTGATTCAATAACACTTGAGACTGAAGGGACAACATCAGCACTAGAGCAAACAAGTCCCACTGACACAGTAACTTCTGAGCCTGTTGGTACCACTTTGGTGTCTGATCAAACCAGTCAAACAGATTCCGTAACATCTGACCCAGCAGAGACCTCCTCAACACCTGAGCAAACCAATCCCACTGACACAGTAACCTCAGATTCTGGCCAGACAACCATGTCATCTGACCTTACAGGTTCTACAGATACAGTTACCTCTGAGCCTGCTGGTACCACCTTGGAATCGGAATCAACTGGTCCAACTGATTCAATAACACCTGAGACTGTAGAGACAACTTCAGCACAAGAGCAAACAAGTCCCACTGACACAGTCACTTCTGAGCCTGTTGGTACCACTTTGGTATCTGATCAAACCGGTCAAACAGATTCAGTAACATCTGACCCAGCAGAGACCTCCTCAACACCTGAGCAAACCAATCCCACTGACACAGTAACATCAGATTCTGGCCAGACAACCATGTCATCTGACCTTACAGGTTCTACAGATACATTTACATCTGAGCCTGCTGGAACCACCTTGGAATCGGAATCAGCTGTTACAACTGATTCAATAACACCTGAGACTGGGGAAACCACATCAGCACTAGAGCAAACAAGTCCCACTGACACAGCAACTTCTGAGCCTTTTGGTACCACTTTGGTATCTGATCAAACCAGTCAAACAGATTCAGTAACATCTGACCCAGCAGAGACCTCCTCAACACCTGAGCAAACCAATCCCACTGACACAGTAACCTCAGATTCTGGCCAGACAACCACGTCACTTGACCTCACAGGACCCACAGACACAGTTACCTTTGAGCCTGCTGGTACCACCTTGGTATCAGAATCAACTGATCCAACTGATTCAATAACACTTGAGACTGAAGGGACAACATCAGCACTTGAGCAAACCATTCCCACTGACACAGTAACCTCAGATTCTGGCCAGACAACCATGTCACCTGACATTACAGGTTCTACAGATACATTTACATCTGAGCCTGCTGGAACCACCTTGGAATCGGAATCAACTGGTCCAACAGATTCAATAACACCTGAGACTGTAGAGACAACTTCAGCACAAGAGCAAACCAATCCCACTGACACTAGTCACTTCTGAGCCTATTAGGTACCACTTTGGTATCTGATCAAACCAGGTCAAACAGATTCAGTAACATCTGACCCAGCAGAGACCACGTCCTCAACACCTGAGCAAACTACTCTCACAGACACAGTAACCTCAGATTCTGGCCAGACAACCACGTCACTTGACCTCACAGGATCTACAGACACAGTTACATCTGAGCCTGCTGGAACCACCTTGGAATCGGAATCAGCTGTTACAACTGATTCAATAACACCTGAGACTGCAGACACAACTTCAGCACAAGAGCAAACAAGTCCCACTGACACAGTCACTTCTGAGCCTGTTGGTACCACTTTGGTATCTGATCAAACCAGTCAAACAGATTCCGTAACATCTGACCCAGCAGAGACCTCCTCAACACCTGAGCAAACCAATCCCACTGACACAGTAACCTCAGATTCTGGCCAGACAACCACGTCACTTGACCTCACAGGACCTACAGACACAGTTACCTCTGAGCCTGCTGGTACCACCTTTGTATCAGAATCAACGGTTCCAACTGATTCAGTTACAACACAACCTGAGCAAACCTCTGCTACAGAACCACTAACCTCTGATCCATCTCAAACCACATCAACCATGGAAACATCAACACCAACAGATCTACCTACTGAACCGCCCACTACTTTACCACCTACACAGTCATCTATACCGTCCACTAAACCACCGACTGATCCACCAACCACACCACCAACATCACCTGCCACGCATACTACTACTCGACCAATCAGCACAGTGGAGCCCTTAGATTGCCAAAATGGGTCAGAATATAATGGAACACACTGCATATGTCTTGTTGGATTCCGTGGAAACTTGTGCGAATATGTTGTCACTTTTGAGCCAGGTAATATCAACCTCCTTGAAGCTCTATCATTTTTAGCTGCAACTAAAACTTACTAAGCACGATTTTTAATATGCAGTTGAGATACATTTTAATTTGTGGAGTCAAATATGTTTTATTTTCTTTGCAGATACACTCAACAGGTCAGTCGTTGTAAAAGTGGTGATCAATCAGGAATACAAACCAGAATATGAAAATGAGAAGTCACCTGAATATAAAGACTTTGTTGGAAACTTTACCACCCAGGTAAATGCAATCTTTAGAAAGCTCTAGTATGTTGTATCTTTTAAGGATTTTTACAGAATGTTGCAACATTTGGGACTATAAGACATGAAGTAAATCTGCATTTATCGAATGCAATGAGCTGAACAAGCAATCATATTTGAAAATATATTATTGTGCTCTAGATACACACTTTGTTCAGCTCAACTTGATTACAAATGAAAACAATATGCAATCGGCAAACTACACCATTACACCAGCATTTGCAACATGCTGAACAATAGCAATCAAAGTTATTCATACTAACCTCTCTCGTCCAAAAATTCAGATTTAAATTATGATAAAATATGTAAAAAAAATGGTTTTACTTTTTCATCTCAGTAAAGATGATATAAAAGTGAATTCGTGATGATTAAAAGACAGTATTACAGACACGGCTCATGTAGAATAGTATAAAACACTTGAAAAAACTTGAAACATTGTTCATTTTTTGTGTTTCATTTTTTTTGTGTTTCATTATTTCAGATGGAAATATATTATATTGAAAAGAAGATAGCCAACTTTAATCGGGTGGTGGTAACTAGTGTGAGGTAAATGACCTTCAATTTGTTTTATTAATAAAGCGATTATCATCATATTTTTCTATACATTGTACATCCAATCAAATCAACAGACAGTTTCTCTCCAATTCTTTTGTCTTAGACCTGGAGCCCCTGCGGTCAGATTCTCAGATTACACTTTGAAAAAGGTAATGCTATTTAGACTCGTTTGCAGCTGTGTATTGAATCAGAGATAAGATATTAACAACTGCTCTATCTTGTTTCAGAGGAGATTACGATCCGAAGTTATCTACAGTATCGCACCAAGAGCAAATGGGTAATTTGAGCAAAGACACCTTTAAATATATTCCAAATAAAAGTAATTTAACACATCAATATAGATAAGCACAAGCAAACTTTGCATGTTGGCAATCACAAATAGAAAAAAATTGTAATTGCCTAAATTATGTCCAATACTTGAACTTTCTATTTACACACTGACTTTTAGTGGTCAGTTTTATCACAACTTTGACATGATAAGTACAGTTATTATATATACACAATATATATACACAAAACACAAGCAAATAAAGGCGATAATGTCACCATACTTTGCATATATATTAAAAACATAGCAAAAGAGTCAAGCACAGGCAAACTGAGCACATACAACAATTATGTAACATACTGTACAGTATATGTCGCATAGAAATATGCCTGCAAATAAGGAAAAAAATGCATTCATGCACGACAGAAGTGTGTGGCTGCATTAGAAGTGAAAACACCTGGTTGCATAATAGTGATAATAAAATATGAATGTTAGTATTATTAATAAGATGAACATAACAACTACAATAATAACACCAGTAATTATAATACTTGATAGTAAAATATGAATATGTATAATACTTCTACTACTTCAACTACTACTACTGCTACTACTGCTACTACTAATATTTAGGCTAATGTAACAGGTGTATTTACTAACAAAACTAATAATAGAATTATAGGACATTCATAAAGGTAGGTAATAAATTAGCATTGTAATGACTTTACCTGTACTGACATGCTGTATGACATTTTCTCTTCCCCAGTGTTAGTGTCACACATGATGTGGTTTTGGCAATTCCAAACAACGCCAGCTTTGACTATATATATGAGGAAGATGTCAAAGCAGTTGAGGCGGCTGTTGGAGGGCTTGTTGACTGCTTCACAGGTAAGACAGAAAATTCATATTTACCAATATGATCATATACACTATGCACTCTAAGGAAAACATGAGAACAGAACCTTATTCACTGAAATACAAGAGTTTTCTTAATATTAAGTTGAAGGCTTTTTCTTATAAATTTATCAAAATACAACAAATCCATTTTTGTAATAAGGTACAATATCATGTTTTGTCTTCTGTATTTTCAGACTGTCCTTACAACATCACAACTACTCCTGAAGTTAATGAAACCGTAACAGATTTGGGAGGTCAGTATTACCGCACTTTGTACGCATTTTTCATGAAATTCATCAACGTCATCAGTGTGATCTGTTGATCTGTTTAAGTATCAAAACAAAATGTTGGGGTTGCCATTCGGCATCTTAATCAATTGTACACATCTTAAATAATTTCAGGCATGTTCCTATATTCTTTGTAACCATCTCACAGTTTGATGCTTAGAGATCCTCTCCACTCAAAAAGTTTTTTTCTTACAGTTTGTTACTAGAGGGGTTTCACAATTCTCTACTGGGAGGGCGTTCTTTAAACGCACCTAAAATCTGAGATGCAAACGTACGCAAACTAGATTAGGTATATAACAAATTAAAAACAGCCAATTGCTATCTAATATGCAAGACATATCTCAATATGGAAAAAGTATTTGACACAATACCATCAAATGGACCTGAAACATCCAGAGCAGAATAAAATAGTTGGAACAGAGAAAAATAGTAGAATAGGAATTCTCAACTGCAAACATGGTAAAGAGCGCAGTTTTTGGCTGTAAACCGGACCCTGGAGCTTCCCACTAAACATTTCTTAAGATTTACAGTATAATCATTAGCTACTGCCAGCTACAATCTAACAAGCTAACAAACAGCATAAACAAAATATGCTAACTAGAGTTCAGTAGAATCCACTGAATTCTTCATGTCTGTGTTTTCTCATCAGGTGTATGTGAAAGAATTGTGAACGATGCAGATACTGTTGGATTCCACGAACTTGCGAATGTTACTGGAGTCATCACGTGTAGGACAGTATGTAACAGTTTGCATACGAAGGTTAAAAAATGCTACAATAAAGGAATCTGCAGAGTGTACAGGAACGTTGGAGCGCTTTGTCAGTAAGTAGATTGGTTTCTCTGTTTCGTTCTGTAAATAAATGTTCTGTATCATAAACACCTCCGCTTTATATAGCCTTCTTTTAGATATTAAGGATTATTAGTAAGCATTCATTTTCAATATCACTCAATTTCGGTTAGTCGGCCCCGTCCACTAAGTTAGACTTCTAAATTGATTAATTTCCTCTGCTAACATTTTCCTTGACAAGTTTAAGATCTTAATCTCTAGTTTCGATACAACATGATGTCATCTTTCTCCCAGTTATTCTTTAAAGATTTTCAGGGTTCCTTGTTATATATTTGTCGATAGACCTGTTATTGCAGAGGTTAATTAAAAAGAAAAAAAATTCTTTAGATAAGTTCCTTTTTGGCTGCTTTATTTGACTTGTTTACCACAGTTGTTCACTATTTAACTTTGTTCCTACTTCTCAGTTGCCCAAAGGAGGATTCCACTTGGTACTTGGGCGATGACTGTAGCCTCCCGATATGGAGGACCGGTTTCTACATAGGCATATCTGTGACCTTGTGTTTCCTGTTGTTGAGTGTGGGAGGGTTATCTCTATTCCTGCTGCTCAACAAACGCAAACAAAAGATGTAAGCTTAACGAAGACAATCAATCAAATTCTGTTCACCAAAGATTTTTGAAAACAAGGAATATTAACATATCGGTCAGAGTAATAACACTGTGGGAAGAGTCCAATGCAGATAATCTACTCTTAATATCAAGTCATTATAAAGTGTCAGACTTTGTGAAAGGCAGTATAAACGAGTATCAGTTTTGTAAAATGTTATTGCAATGTTATCAAATGGTTTTGAAAATAGTTCACGCCAGTATCGGCCAATACAAGTGTGTTTTATTTATTGTAATTGAATCAAAACTACCCAAAAACATCATGGTTAGTATAATTAACATTTTAAAATGTCCTCTGTGTTTGCAGGAAGGAAGATATTAAAATCCAGCAGGTAAACCAGTGGATAACTGAGGAGTTTGACTGGTCCAGATCCGATGACTCAGTTAATGCCGGTAAGTTTGTCATTTATTTTAAACGCACACTGAGTTTTCAGTTTTTGGAACCAGAGTAAAAACATTATGCTTCCTTCAAGGCTTTTAGCTGCATCTCATTGTCCTTCAAAAATGCATTTGAAAGCCCTTGATCAAATAAAAAAACCTAATTACATTTTATGGATATTTGCCTACCAATAAGAAACATATTTTTCATGACCCTAGTCACTCAAACTGAAGCTAACTAGTCAAGCACAGCAGCATCTTTTGACTTGAATGAAATCCATGTGATGGTCTGGTCTTAGCAACTTTTAATTCACATCTTTAAAAGATTATCCTAAAGTGCAGTATCTGCTGAAGTACGATCTGTGGCAATTACTTTTTGGAGTACAATAATCAGCCTTAAATTACATAACATATCGGACATTACATTGTGTCAAAGTTTGCAAGCTACCCTGAAAATATTATACCATTTGTATTCCATTTGATTAATTTGGTAGTTACTGCTCTATGCATTCTAGAAGCGCAAACTATACTGGTGGTTGTGTGTGAATCTCCCGTAAACCCTTGTTGTCCTATCTTTAGGAGGGCTCCAAAACCCTTCATTCACATATGATGAATCAGACCAGGAGGATCCAGGATCTAGACGTACTGCACCTTCCTCTGCGTTCACGCCACTGTCTTTGGATCTTGACAGCAGAGGGTTTGGCGCTTCAGCGAGCAACTACCCCTCAACCCGAGCAGCACCACGATACAATGCTCCATCTTCTAATGCTGGATTCTCACAGGCTTCCAGCGTAGACTTCCCATTGAGCCCGCCGGTCAGTGCACACACAGGAACTCAGATTAGTTTTTATCATCCACCAGTATGTTCACAAGTGTTTTAAGAAAGGTGCTTATAAAAGCCTACATCAGATTCAGTAGATCTTATTAAACTCCACTACTGTGTTCTTTACATGAAAACAAATCCAATTATTAATGATTACCAACAAGGATAGGAGGGACTTGTTACCTTTAAAAAAAAGTCAGTAACCTAATCTGACATCAAAATATAAAGGTAATGTTATCTGATTACTTTCCATTACTTTTGATTACCTCAATATCAAGAGCAACGCAAATAAATACAAGATAAATAAATAACAATTAAGGGTTTAGACCTTAGAAAAGAAGAATTTGTATGTGCTATACAGTGTGCGTAGATTCTGTTTTTACCAAATAAGGAAAATCTTGGGGAGTGTCAACATCTTTGTAAAGGCTGCTTTAGTGGGTTATAAAAAGACATTTCTCGATGGGAACAGTTTGTGAAAAGCCTACTGTTTTCCTCATTTAATTAATCATGCCTTTTTTTATTATTTCCACAGATGAGGATCAGCAGGCCTCAGATCAGGCCCTTCTGGGAAGTCTGAGTCTCCCCTTTCTAACATAACTTGTTCGTCATGACTTTGCTGCCTAAGATAAACATCTAAAATGCATCAGTCATAATTTATATTTATATGCACGTACAATGCAGCAACTGTACTAGTTCTGACTATTTTAGATATTTTTTATTATTTCATGATTTATTTATTAATTTTCTTGAACTGACAGCAAGCCAGTGCTTTATTTATGAGTCTATTGAACAACCCTGTCATAAAATCTATGACGCTTCTTATATACAGTGTTTTCCATACTGTGTCAGGGAGCAATGGATTCACTTCTGTGTTCATGTATGAGGCCGTAGGTAGTGCAGTTGTGTTGGAACACATTATGGAGAGCTCAATCCTGAAGTAGAGATTTTAAATGTAACTCCGCAGCACAGAAGCACTTTGAAGAGACATCAGGACATCACTGATGAGTGCAGTTTATTATCCACAGGATTAAAGAACATTTTGTTATAATTGATTTCATTGTTTGGAGTTTGTTGAATTTGCCAAGTCTGTCAGCCAATGATGATTGAGATCTGAGGCAGAAGTATAGTATAGAGAGGAATGAAGGTCTTTCTGATTATTTGCACTATGTGCACTTCACCTTAATGCATTGGATGCACTTTATGTAAATAAAAAGTATCTGTTGTCAGAAACATTTTCTCAGTGTGAGTTATTTTATACATTTATATTTCATCTGTAGTCTCTACAGATGACAGATGTTATCCTAAAATGTAAATGACATGGTTTATAAAGGAAGATAAATAATAAAAAGGGGAGATTGATGTAGTAGTAGATGATAGGAAATAAATAGGACATAAATATACTACATGGGTGTGGAATAAATAAAATAAAACATGCTGCACGAGAAGCAATGAAAAAAGGAAAAAACAGACAGATCAATAGATTTTATGTTATTGTGGCCGAACATGTACTGTAATATTATAAAAGTATTTACATGATAGAACTTCTAGGAGGTTACACTTACCTGTTTTGATAAATATTGACCAGCAAATTAAATAATAATGTGAATCCATCAAATGTTAGAACATAGGGATGCCTAGGGAATATGAGCAAAGATAAAGCGACATACAAATGCAAATGCATTTACCGCACCAAAACGGGCAGGCGTGCAACAAATAAAAAATATTTATTTTATTTGTATTTTTTTATTAAAAAGAGTTCAAATGTACTTTTTTCACATCTGTTAGAATGTATACACACATACAGTATAATTCAGGCCTGCTTGCCCAATTCTCCACTCATCCACCAGATGGCCTCAGAGTTGTCCACCAGTCAACCTGCCTGTCCTTCACCATTCTTTGGTAAGTGTCATCGTATCCTTCCTGCTTGGTGTGTGTGTGTGTGTGTGTGTGTGTGTGTGTGTGTGTGTGTGTGTGTGTGTGTGTGTGTGTGTGTGTGTGTGTGTGTGTGTGTGTGTGTGTGTGTGTGTGTGTGTGTGTGTGTGTGTGTGTGTGTGATGCCTGCATTTGAGCCCTGCTCTGTTTGTAGCTGTAGTTCAACAGACATGTCATATACCACAATTTGCTAAAGTTTCGCATATCATTGTCCCAGATTTACCTTCACCACAGAATCAGTATAAAAGTAATCCAACGTTATTACAATATGGAATAACTCAATACTAAATATGCAAATAATTATTTATTATATTTTTGTATTCATACTTATGTAGTGATGTTTTTTTTAATGGCGTATTGATGCCTTTAGTGTCTCACCATTGCTGGTACTTTATCTTAACCAATACTATTTTAATATATTGTATTTGACTTAGAAGTGTTTAGTAGTTGTAGTTCAAACACTTTTTTATAAATTACCAAACAATCTCGAATCAAGGTGCATTTAGTAGCTCTTTATGGTTTTATTCATATATAATGTTTTTGGGTTTTTTGCTGTTTTTAAGGTCAAATGTTAAATGAACGCCAAAATGGACCAGATATCTGTAACATTTAAGAATATCTTAAAAGTGAGTGTGTACTGTCTGTGTGAAGCCACTGAGGGTCACTGTAGTCTTGTTTCAATGGAGCCTCCCAACACTGTATTACAATGAGAAAATGTATCTTAAAGGGGGCAACAGTTAATAATAAAACAAAAAAATACTTGACAACACTTAGCCAATTGTATAGTTTAAAATTAAGCTTAAATGTGATGTAATTGAGACTGTAAATATGGAATTGATTGAATTAAAATGTGTATTCAAATAGTCATGCCAAGACTTGAAACTAACTTTGTGTGTGGTCAATTATCACAGTGAACATAGTGTCAAAGTTATGTTATTACAACATTGTACAAGCAAGTGTCAAGGTTTTTTATTATATGACAAAAATTAGCCCAAGACATGCATGCAAGGGTTCTTAAAGTGAAATAGGTTGCTCACTATATATTTAAATACTTATATTATTGTAAATAAAATCAAAAGCTGACATCAGTTAGACAAACTGTGGAAAAGCAGCTCCAGTACATGTCATGTTACTTCCCGCATTGCACAGCGCTGCAAACATATTGAGAATTGGTCCATGGTGAATTGTAAAGATGCACTCAGTGCGCTCGCAGCCACAGATGCTGCCTGTCCACATGGCTGAAGAACAACAGAGATTATAAAACACTTTGAATGGAGCCATTTTTCCCTGTTGGTTTGAATGGGTTTTAAGAATGTCTGTGTGAGTGAAAGGCTGATAATATACAGTATGTTAAGAGCACTCATTTATTTGAATGCTATTGTATCTTTTGCATTATGTTGCTTTTAATTACTCCTATTTATGTGTTTAAAATGATGTATATTTTAGTAGTTTTTCCGCTGGTAATACATGGGATTGCACCTTGGGTATTTAGGTATTAACTGACTGTAACACTTTAAAAAAAAAAAATCAAACATAACCTAACCTGGCTTTAATTAAGGTGTTGTTCCCTTTTAAAGGTAGGGTAGGTAAGTTTGAGAAACCGGCTCGAGATCGCTAGAATTTGAAAATACACAACCGGAGAAAATCTGCCACTTCCTTATAGAGCCCCTCCTCCAACACACACAAACGCGCACATGACCAATGAGGGCACTAGATAAGTTTGTGCACAGATGGAAGGCTGACAGGCAGGTAGGCCATCCAGTTATTTTAGCCGGGCCGGCTAAAATGATAGGTCGTGCTTTTTACAGTATTACGGCTTCCACAGATGACATTTTTTTATGGATTTTTTGTCAAAGCACTTAAGATAGTCATTGCTATCGGGATGTTAAGAGCATTCCATGGAATATAACAAAAAGTGTATCTCGAGCCGGTTTCTCAAACTTACCTACCCTACCTTCAATAGTATCACACAGTAGGACCCTAACAGCATTTCTGCAACTGTAATTGTAAGTCAGATTTTTCACCCACCAAATGTTCTTGTTAGTTCAATGTGATTGTTACGTTCCCTCCAAATCTAGGGGTACCAAGGGAAGTAACAAAACACAACGTTGACCAGGCACGAGAAAAAAGAGAGGAAACCGTTCTCTGGAGTCACGAACAGGCCTTTTAATAGTCAAGAAAAGAACACGGGCTGCTCACCAGCTAACTTGCACATTGAACTAGTGTCCCATATCCAGGAGCACATCTCTTATTGATCTACAGAACACAGGTTGTACGCATGCAGCCAGAGAAGGAAAAATGGGGCAATCACTGCAGTCTTCCTCCGGTCCTATATGGAGGCCTTGATTGGGAATTTGGAGCACCTGGGGAGAGGCTGCACCTGGGGACAATCAGGCTGCACCTGGGGAATCAGAGGGAGAGAGAGAAAGACACACACACACACACACTACGGCACATAACACCACCCCCCCCCCCCCCATAAAACCAAACAAGTGTTTGGCCACAGTTACCAAAAACACTCAGACTATTGGACATGAATCGTGAAATCTCACCCACGGGACAGTACATCGGCCACCACATCCGCTCCCCTCTTGTGCTTGATGACGATATTGTAGTCTGGGTGCTGGTCTTTTGACTTTTCCGTAGACTGCTTGGAAGCTGCCACCTGCTGCTTCCAAGCTACACACCTTGCCACTAGATGACCAGGATCAAGACAAAAGAAACTGAGGGTGTTTCTCAATCGCGAGTAAAGCTGCTCCAGAGCCACTATTTCAAGCATACTACGTCATCGAGTGCCGCCGAAGTACTGTTCCAATCTCCAGCATACTTGGAAATCTACCGAGCCCGGCGTACTCCGTTTGGAGAAATATCGAGGCTGCACATGAGTAGACTCCGCGGTCTTAAAATCCCCACAATGCTTGGCAGACATGTGCTACCAAGCAAGCGTACTCGCGATTGAGAAACACCCATAATCTCTTGGGACCTCGAGTTCTGGTCAAAACACAACCTGCAAACACCTCCGGCTGAGTCTGAGCTAGGTCACCACCTGCAGCACCAGGGATTGAAACGTCTACAACCTCAGCAGTAGGATACACTTTACCCCCGGCTATATCGTTACCCATTATGAAATCCACTCCGTCGACAGGAAACTTGGGCAGCACAGCAACTGGAAAGAAACCAGTAGCCAGTTTAGACTGTACCTGGATCTTGTGAAGAGGTGCAGGCACACAACCCATCTCAATACCTCTTACCACCGCACTTGCATCACAGGCAGACTCAGCACTCAAGGGCAGAACACTGGCAAGAGTGAACGACTGTGAGCCACCACTGTCTCGTAACACCGTGACCTGCCGCTGGTCCTCCACCTTTCCTGACAGAGAGACAAAAGCAGTAGAGATGAATGGTTTCAAACACTCATCAGGCCCTTTGTTAACAGTGGCCCGTCCACTAGGACACACTGCTGTAACCAATCCCACCCCTTCTGGGTGCTTGCCAGCCGCTGTCTGCTCTCGCTTCCAACCTGCACAGTCTATCACATGACCTGGGTCATGACAAAAAAAACAAGATCTGTTTAGCCTGGGATCTAACACTGGCACAGGGAACGTAATTGTCAGGAGCTCTACGATAAGTGTCTCGCTGAGGAGAATCATGCTGAAAGAAAACGCTCTTGTGTATCAGGGCAAACTCGTCTGCCAGAGTGGCAGCCTGCCGAAGGGTAGCCACTTTTTGCTCGTTCAAATAGACTACCGTACGCTCAGGCACACAGTTCTTAAACTCCTCTAACATCATTAGCTCACACACTGAAGTAATGTCGTCAGCTTTACAAGCTCTACACCACCTGTCAAAGAGGACTTTCTTCTCCCTCGCAAAGTCCACATAGGTTTGGCCAGAAGTTTTCATCAGGCCGCGAAAAAGCTGCCTGTAGGCCTCAGGCACAAGCTCATATGCCCTGAGAACAGCACCTTTAACATTCTCATACACCAAACTATCCTCGACAGAAAGAGAAGAGCAAGCCTCTTGAGCCTTGCCGACTAGCTTACACTGTAAAAGAATAGCCCACACGTCTTCTGGCCAGCGCAGAGCAGCAGCAATGCGCTCAAATGCACCAAAATAGATTTCCACTTCTGATTCACGAAACACAGGGACCAAAGAAATATGCCTACTCACGTCGAAGGAGGCAGCAGGACCAGAAGGTGTAACGGCAGAATCACCCACCCCAGCTGCCTGAAGCTCTAGTTGACGCATCCGGACAGCAGTGTCTGCCTCCAACTTCCTG